CTCCAGCCAGGCTGGGTGCTGAGCCTACATGGAAAAGGGGAAGTCCTGTACCTGTTTAGACACTGCAGATCCTTCGTTATGTCTATCAAGACTTGGGCAAGATCAGCACCTCGAGCTGGTGTAGATGTTCAAGGAGCAAGCAGGGCCACATGTATTAGGAAACCCTTGCAAAGGCTGCAGTCAGCATACGCTTGCTGTGTGACAGCAGCTCTCTGAGCCAGGCAAAGTACCTCCAACCTGGTAGCCTAGTATTGACCTACTGGACACTGCCCTGAGGACACCAGTGTGGCAGTGCAGAGGGGACAGGCACTGCTGTGAATCTGCTGCAGGGAGTGGGATGTGAAATCTCCCTTTCTGCATGAGCCTTTACGGTTTCCCAGCCAACGCTACCTTGCACAGAGAACCCGACCATGTTCCACTCGAGAAGACACACCCAGAGGGCTGCGAAGCAAAGCCCAGCCTGCCCCTGCCACACTGGCTGCCCCCTGGTGCCCTCACATCTCACATGAGCACAGTCCCACTACTAGAGTGCAAGCAGTGGGTTTTCCTCCTCATCCACTGGGCTCGGCAGAGCAGATGCCCTATACACTGGTCACCCTGCCCAAACCATCACTTTCCTCTGCTTGAAACACAAGACACTTTCCCAATCCTCGGCTAAAGCCGCGCACTTGGCCAGACCCTCCCTGTGCCTCTCTCTGTGCCCTGACTCTGCTCAGCCCCAGGGGGATGCAACTTCATTCCCTACATGTGCTGAGGATGCACATATGGCAGCCCCCTCCCCTCTCCACTTCCACCTAAGCCCGACCTCCTAACAACCTCCACACGGCACAACGCGACCGGCCTGAGAGTGCCAGAAGGCATCCAGGTGCTGCAGCCTGATGCTTCACACCCACAGCCAGGCAAATTTGCTGGGATTTCCGGGAAGTGTCTCTAGGGTGCCCCGTGCTGCTGCACCCCCACTTTGGTGAGCGCTTGTTTGGAATGCGGGGCCATCGGTGGGGGGGGGGGGGGAGAGAGGGGAAGTTATTCTGGTGGTGGCCTATGAATAACATCCAGTGATTTATAGGAAGTATAATCCAATAATACAGTAAAATAAAACAGTGTGTCTGAGATGGGTTTGATTCCAGGAATTATAAAACAAATTATTAAAGAGAGAGAGAAAGAAAAAAGCCTCAGAGAGGCCAGATCGGAGTAAATTGGGCACAGATGGGCTGGGAGGGGGTTTCTCTCCCTCCACTCACCGAGATGCCCCTGCCGCAAGCACGGCTTCAATTAGTCTTTTCAGAAACCAGAGTTTTATTTCCCCAAATTACAGAATTAAAAAAAAATTAAAATTCTTGGAGTGCTTGTGGTTGAGATAAAGGGATCCAAGCTTCCCTGTGAGTTGGTTGTGCAGATGGCTACCAAACTGTTAAACGGGCCACCCCACAATGCTCCCGCCCCAGCCACAGCCTGAGATAGCCCAAGACATTGGTGGTTACCTAGGTCCTATTGTGGAAAGCTCCAGCAACTGCAAGTCTCAGCCATGTAGAGTGGCTGTCTCTCTCTGCCTCCCTCCCCTGGGTGGGCACTCCTTGCCTCGTGGGTTTGAGGTCTACAAGAAGCTTTTTCACACCTTGAGCACTCCTGACAGGAGACAGAAGGGTCAGTGGGACCCTCACTGGCTGCACGGTGTGTTCCTGCCCCGCTGGACAATGCAGGAACACTCCGTTTGATGCCGAACAGCAGGGGAAGCACTTCATGTGGGAATTCTTTGGCTTCCTCTCTCAGAGAAAACAACAGATCCAATTCATCTCCCAGGGTCTTCCCAGTGCTGCCCAGCTGCACAGGCAGCTGAGACCAGCTCCAGTGTGCCTGGTGCTGTCCCTGGGGATAAGCTGAGCTGCCTGCACCAGCCCAGCCACAGGGCTCTGCCTGTGCTCACCTGAGCCCTGGCTGGGCAACCACTTCAGGGTTCAGGTAGCCACAGCAGTGACCTGCGTGGGAGGAGGATGTGAAATGCCACGTGCTGCTCACAGCTGGCTGGCTCTGAAACCAGTTCAAACACCTCAGTGCACCTCAAAAAAAGTCATCCTGTCAGAAGAGCACATGGTGACCTTGCACAGGTTGATTTATGAAAGAGTGTCAGTGGCTGGAAGCAGAGGTACAAAGGACATGCCACAACTGCCATACGGGGGTCGCAAAGAGCAGCAGATACAAACCATCACATACAAGTCCCAACCTCCTGTGCTGCCTGTTGCCTCACTAAAGGAATTGAGGCAGACCTGGCACAATCCACACCAAAAATGGGAGAAACTGAGGCTGAGATGGGTCAGGATTATGTTTTGTGTAAGTTTGAGGAAGAGGGAGGACAGGTGCTTATTAAGGCATTTCATTGCTCAGGTTTCCTTTTCCTTAATACCTGAATCTGTGCTTCAAAGTTTGTATTCAGGGGCTTAAAATTTTGCAGAAATTCCCCACATTGCAACTGTTTTGCCCGTGACACTGTGACACAACTGCCAGCACCACTGGATCCCAGCACCAGGGTTTCATTAGACACCAGACACAGGGAAACAAGCACATTTACAAGTTTCTCAGGAGTAACTGGGGCTCCAGAGACCTGAAAATACACGACAGGGGAGGGAGGGAGCAGCTATCCCTGAAGAGAACACCCCCTGACAGCAGGGAAGAGAGGCTCTTGGACCTCCCTCCCGGCCCCAGAGAGAACCCACAGATCTCTTCCTGCTACCGCGAGCTCGCAGCTGAAGGTCAGGCCTGTGCGATGGGAAGGACACAGACACGCTCTGATCCCAGATTTGCATGAGGATTTCAGTAGGAGGAGATCTCTGGAGGCTGTTTGGTCCAACAGCAAAGTTAGATCCAGCGCTACAGAGCAGACACAGCCAAGCTCTGACTACGGCCAGCTCCCCAGTAACACTTCCTGGCAATCTGGGATGCAGGCAGGGTGGGACTGCTCCCTGTGCCCTGCCAGCCTCCCACAGGCTCACAGGGGCGGCTCAGCCCCCTCGCTCCTGCTGCTGCCCATGCTGCTGCAGCGCAGGGAGGTGACTCATGTGCTGGGAAATGGAAACCCGCACCTTCCCGACAGCGGTCCTGCCACATGCTCCAGCCAGGCCTCTGCCCACAGCAGCCCACATGCCGGGGAAGGAGCCAGCACCCCTGCTCCGTGCTGGGCATTCACTAATCTTCCAGCAAACATTCCTGCTTGCCTTCTAAACTCCTGACCCTTTGCTGTTTTGCTTTTTATTTCCATCTGCACCCAGCTCTTCCCAGTAATGCAGCATGGGCACTAAGCTCAACCTGTGCTGTCCCAGCACTTGGTATACGAGCACTCAGAGACCACCAGGGCATTTGCGCTGACAACAGGATTTGCTTTGCCAACAATATTCCCAGCAATATTTCAGGGGCAACAGAGCAAGGAGTCCTCAGGGAAACCCCTGAGGGCACTTGGCCTCAGATGGCAGCCATGGTGCCATCCGACCTGCAGGCATTCCACAAACACTGCCACCTGCTCCGCACACAGCCTGCAGTCCCCAGCAGGAACAGGTTTGCTTTCTCCAGAGATCCAAAAGCTGGGAGCAGCTGGCAGCTACCCACACAGGAGGCAGAAAACTCAGAGAACACCTATTTTTTGTGAGAAAAAAAGTGCTCCCTTTTTCACTCACACACATCCACAACTTGGGTATGGATGGAAGAGCACAGTCCAGTGGTCTGAGAGTTGGAATCACGTCCAGCTCTGCCACAGGGGTTTGCCATCCAGCCCAGACAAATCTCTTCCTCTCCTCACCACCCACTCCTGTCTGCAGCACAGACACCACTGTTAATTCACCTACCAGGGGTATTATTAATATTACTAATATAATAATTACCGTCATGCAGAGGCATTTGCTTATAATCATAAAGCACTTTGCAGTTCAAAGATAAACACGCCGTCGCTGGCTGGCATCTGGCAGGCGGGAGGGCACGGCTGCCTCACCAGCAGGACTGACAGCTCCCCTGGAGCTTCCCCCAGGAGAGGAGGGTGCCTGCAAGGCAGGCACGGCACACGGGAGCCGCTTCCCAGCCCTCCGGCTGGTGCTGGTTCACTCCATCAGCTGACCCTGGCCACTAACCACCAGTCTGACAAGTGGCCAACTGGTTCACGAGGGAGAAATCTTCCAGCAGCAGCTCTCTGGGGCTCAGCCTGATCGCCCACACGGTGGCTTTAGCTGAAATCCATCAGCTGGAGGCCTTCATCTTTGGGATTTAAATCCCAAGCCATCGGCATGTGAAATGGCGCTTCCTCCCACCCAGGGAGTACAGCCCCATCCCTGCTCCCAAACAGCTCAGGCAGACCTGGGTACCTGCTGCTGTGTGTCATTGGGGACACAGGGAAAAACACATTCCCTGGAAGCATCATTTTAAACTCAGTGGAAGAGGCTTGGGTTTGGTGGCATCTCTGCTGACCAACAGATTAAACCTGTCAGTGGTAGAGTCCACGAACAGGCTTCTAGGTGGATGGAGGAGGTGAGAGGAGGAGGATGAGTAACACTAGATCTTGCTTTGTTCTCAAGCTGCCTTAACATGGGGCACAAGCTCCAGCCTGGCCTTTCAGAGAGCGGCATCACATCCCCCAGCACTTGCACAGACACAAGCAGTCACAGGCAATACCATTCTCCCAACAGTCAAGGCCTTTGAGACCCTCCCAGTCCTTCTGGTGCCAGCAGAGACACTGAGCAGGGCCCACATTAAATGCTGGGAGTAAAGCAGTGTCTTCCTTCTGTCCTGATGACTCAGGCTCCAGGGAGATGTGATGCCTCCTCACTCCTCAGACACCTCAGCCAGCTCTACGGAAGCACAGCCAAGGTCCCTTTGTGTTGACACCCGCAGGCATCCAACCACTGCTCCGCCTTCCCATCTGTCCCCAGCTGGTGTGTCCCCCCACCCTTCTCCACATGAGCAGCTCGGCCACGGAGAGTGGCTGATCCCCACCCCAGTTCCCCTAAAGCAGCACGTGGTACCTTTGGGCTGGGAGTTGTACACTGCAAACATGTTGATTGCCACAAGCTGGAGCATGCGGGTGCTTCCGATGGGAGGGGGGCTGTGCTGCAGCAGGACCTGGAACTCCCTCAGGACCTCCTCGGCCACCGCAGGGAAAGTCTCCATCCTGCAGACAGAGAGAGAGGTTGTAGAGTGCAGGCTGTGCCCCGGGATGCAGGGCAGGAAGTCGACATGGCTCACCCCATGTCACATCTCCTGGGGAAGGTCACATCTCCTGGGGAAGGGGGAACCCCTGAGGTGCTGTCTCCTGTCCAGGAGCCGCAGGGAATGAAGGTGCAGGCTGCAACGGAGGCAGCTGAAGCCTTCCTTAGAGATGGCAGTGAGGGATTGCTCTGTGACCGACAGGCAGCATTCCTTTGGCAGGAAAACACGGCCTTTATGAGTCATTTCTGACCAACCATTTTTTTCTACTGACTTCTACCAATCTGGGAGGGGTGCCAAGGGGCCAGCAGCTCACTTGGACCGGGAGCAGCCCATGGGACTCCCAAGAAACCCAGGCTGCAGCAGAATGCACACACTGGTGCCACATTGCGGATGTGGCAATTCCAGTGCATTGAATGTTGGCCAGAGCGTGCTTCCTCCAGAGTGGTGCCGGTCCCTGGGCTCCTCGCTGCAGGATCGGATCCCGTGGCACCGAGCCCCTTTCCCCCCCAAGGCTACACACTTCCCAGCACTCTGATTGAGCCCCTAAACTTCATCACTTCGAGCCCCACAGGACAGGGACTCGCCGACTCGTGTAGCTGCTGACAACGTCAAAGCTGGAGCGGGTCCCCGCAGCCCACAGCGCTGCCGTCGCACGTCAGGACACAGCAGCCCGCGGCTGCGGTGCCACGGCTGGGGATGGGGTGTGCTTTCAACACCATTCACAGGCACCCACGGAAATCTGACACGTTTATCCTACTCTTCATCACTAAGGAAATTAGCTGAGGTCACTTTATCAGAGCTGCTGGACCCTCAGCAACCTCCCAGCTGAAGTGGGGTCAAAAACTGAACTCATCGCAGAGAGCACAGTCAATTCCCAAAAATGAGAGAGATGTGGTTGCCCACAACAGCCCTCCCAGAGAGTCCTCACCTGGTATCCCATGAAGACAACTTTATAACCAAGAAACTGCCCAAAACCTTGGGAACTGTTGAGGGGGGGAAGGTCCTTCTGTCCCACTGCCTCTTCTGCTACATTTGCTGCTTTAATTCTTGTTTCTACACTAGAAAAAGCCACAGCCAGACCCTGCAGACTGAGTATCTTCCAGCAAGTGTCCCCTCCAATTACCAGTGACATTGTTGGGTGTCCACATGGGAGCAAGGGAGCCAAAACCCAGATGCCTCACCCTCTGTGGAGCCAGGACAGGCGACCTCAGGGGCCTCCATAGCAATTTCCCCTGTCATCCCCCAACAGATTCAGATCTTGTGATATCAGCATGCTACAGGCTGGATTAACGAGCCACTTCTGGTAACCCACATGGGAAATTCTGCTGGGCTTCCCCAACGGACTTTCAAGACAGTGATAGCTCTAGTTTTAAGGACAGAAATGGTTTTCTTCTTAGCCATATTTCAGGGGTGCCTTTCAACACTTGGGTCTGCCTAGCAGCAGGGTACCCTCTCCCCTGGCACTGTTTGCTGGAGCAATTCAAAGTCACTGTTACCTTCCCAAAAACATGGGCTGTAACAAACAGGCCCCTTGTACTTTGTAGCTGTGCAGAACAGAGTAGCTCCGTTGACACAAAAGCACTGCTCTTCCTGCAAGAGGCAACTTCCCTAGATTTGAGGCACAGCCAGGGAATTAGAGCAAACTGATTGCTTCTAAAGACTTCCTAGTTTTGAGAAATCTCAGACCACTTCCAGTGTATCCAGCAACATCCTCCTAGGGCAGACAGGACTCTGGGGATGGAGGAGCCCTTTGCAGGACGGGTTGTTAGTGAGGAGATGAAGATTATTGCCATGGAATAACAACAAGAAGGAGCGAGGGCTTCCTCAGCCCCACCAGCTGTGCTTTGATACCACAGCACATCTGGAACGGCGTGCAGTAACCCCACTGAGCTCAGAACCAGCAGGTCAGGAGCCGAGCGGAAGCTTTTAATAAATTGCTTACCTGTGGTTTTAGGAGCAAGAGTCCAATTAGGGCAACATCATCTTTTCCATATTTTTTACAGATAAATCACCAAGGATCCTGCCCAAAGAGAACTTGCCTATTCCTCACCTTTCACCTATTTTAAGTGCGGAAGCTGTTTAGCAGAGCTGGACGATTTTCTCTTCCTGTGTCATGGTATTACTTTCTAGTTCCCTTCTAAGTACTTCAGGGGATATTCTACCATTAAACATACTTGGGTTTTCTAAATGACTGTCCTGGGAAGCAACTGCCTCAAACGCTGCATCTTAATTACAAAAAAGTCTCAGGAGCCAAATGTGCAACTGATCTCTGCAACATCCCCATTAATCCCCTGCTGGCATCTGTTCAACCAGAGCTTGGCCACGAGCACGGTCCCACAGCACCGGGGACCAGCCGCCCCCCGGATGCTTGGCCCTCCAGCACAGACACGCTGCACTTCCCAAACCTTTTGTGGGCCCTTGCAGCTCTCCTCCTCTTTTCCTGCAGGCAGGAGGACATCCAGCTCTGCCTCCTCACCGCAGGCCAGGCTCCTGCCCGGGAGCAGATAATCAGTGCCTTGTGACTCAGGGAGAGATCAAGAGCACAGGCAGAGAGCCGATGGCTCTCCCCCTCACCCTGACACTCTTCAACAAATCGGCCAGCACAGCTCCTGCTTCCCGTTGTTTACAAAGGGCCCAAAGTGAAGCATGTGACCCTCCTGACTGGTCATCCCAGAAAGCACTGGGTGGAGGAAGCACCAAAGTGTCAGGCTGCGTGCACTGCCCTGCACTGCTGTGCCTCCCCACTCCAGGAGGGAAAGGGGACAGAGAACTGTACATCTGAGTCAAAAAACCCCAATAGTAGGGACAAGATGGCACTTTGAATCCACACTACCTTTACCTACGTGGCCTGGAAAATGTCTCAGTCCCATAACTTGTAGCCAACAGTTCTGCAAGAGACTGAAGGAGCCAACAGAGCTCATGAAACTCCAGTTGCTTCCGAGGCACTGGCAGGCTCAAGCAGAGACCACCACTGCCAGGGACTGCCTGGATTCAGGCAAGGTCTCTTCTCAACAGCTGCTCCCACACAGTCCCATCCTGACAGTGAGGGCCAATCTGGACCCAGAGCAGAGACAGTTCCATGGGAAGCCCATCGGCTGTGAGGTTGAGCTCTGCCCTCTGGGTCATAAGGATGTCCCCCAGGCTGGGATCACAGCCCAGGCTGGGATCAGGCTTGCTTTGCTTCAAGGGTAGCTGCTCAATTACTTGAAACCAGTTTCTGACAGCCATTGCCAAGGGCACTTTGTACAAACCAGTTCCCACAGCCAGGGCAGCTCTCAGCTACGAGGCTTTCACCGAAATGGCAGCAAGGAGATGAAGGGCAAGGCTTGTCTTGACAAGCTCCAGACGGCAGCTTTCAGCCACCACATGGATTTGCCTCGATGGCTTTGTGCTCCTTGCAGGCAACAGTCACCAAGAGCCCCACAGAGCCACCTCTCTGCTCTTTAAGGGTGGGGGGGAGTAGAAGAGAGGAGGGCAAACTCAGAAATTAAAGGGGAGGGAGCATGGTTAGATGATGGGAGAGAGAGAAAACAGCATCTAGTCCCTCCTGTGTGCGTATCAACTATCTGAGCTCAGCCTCTGCCAGAGGGTCCCAGCGCATGGGCAGGAACAGGCTTTGAGGTGGGGGGAAGGAAAAGCCCAAGCTATAAGCAGTGTGGATCAGAGGGCGGGTAAGGAGAATAAAAACCAGGAGGCTAGGCCTGCAAGAATTCACACCCTGTGCCCTCAGCTCCAAACACAGCTTAGTTGCTAACAATATTAAATTCCAAAAAGACTTGTAATGTAGGAAAATAAAATAAACATCCTGCACACTTACCCAATCCTGGTAAACAGCTTCCCATGGGCATGGAGAAAACTGAGGATGAACCTTTTGTTCAGCTGCATGGGAAAAAAAAAAAAAAAAGGAAAAAAAATAGAGAGAGGAGAAAACAATTAAACTCTCTCCTATTTCCTGTGAATTAAGAATGTCCCCAGTGACAGAAGAACCTGGCCTGGATGCTGGGGGTGGCACTGGAGATGGGAACCAAATGGACATGCCCAAACTCTTACAAACATCATGCACAGAGGCAGAGGCAAGTGCCAAACAGCTGGAGTTGGAGCTGGAGCCGGGAGAGGCGGTGGAGACACAGCACCCTCTGCCGGGTCCTGAGGTCCTGTGCAGGGGCTGCTGTGCGCCAGGCACCCCAACCCCGATACTCGCACCCTGGGCACCCCAGTCAGATACCTGCATCCAGAGCACCCACACCTCGGCACCCTAACCCCAATTCCTGCAACCCTGCACACCCCAACCCCAGTACCTGCACCCTGGGCACCCCAACCCCAACATCTGCACCCCAGACACCCCAATCTGACACCCACACCCTGGGCAAAGGTCTCCTCCTCCATGTCTCACCAGCTCAGAGCATGGCACAGCCTAAGGGGTTCTGCAGAAGGAGTCCCCAAAGGCAGCCTTTCCCACTAGCATTCCTATCGATGGAAAAAACAACCCCACAACCATCAGCAGCAGCCTGTTCCGTGCTCCCGACTGCGTCAGAGGCAGAGCAGCAGCTGGACAAGGCAGAGAGGGAGCGGGATGTCCTCCCCAGTGCTTTTCTGCAGAGAAGCCAGCATGGTGAGCTCAGCAGCAACGCTCAAAGCACTTGTTTGTGCCCTGCCAGGAGCAGCTCTCAGAAGCAAGGGAAGACTGGGGTGATGCTGCACCCTGTCATTTAACTCCAGCTTTAGGCAATTGCAGACATGGAGTTCAGATGTACCAGCAAAGCCTCTGAGAGCCTGCAGCAGCAGTGCTGCTACTGAACTGCCAGAGAACAGCTATTGAACTGCCCAGAGAAGCTGTGGATGCCCCGTTCCTGGAAGAGTTCAAGATCAGGTTGGATAGGGCTCTGAACAATCTGGTCTAGTGGAAGGTGTGCCTGCCCATGGCAGGGGGGTGGTTGGAACTAGATGGTCTTTAAGGTCCCTTCCTACCCAAACCATTCCATGATTCTATGAACATGGAGCTAAGGGGACACGGGGGAGCTGGCTGCAGCACACAGCATGAAGGCAGTTTCCTGCCCTGCTTCGGTCCACTAACTCCAAAACCTGACTTGAATAATTACTTACTACTGCTCAGGGCTTTCCCAGTCCTTATCTAAACGGCTCTGAGGAAGGCTGTGGGTGGGTAAGCACTCACTCTGCCTGGCCCTGGAGGTGGCCGTGTCACACCAGGAGTGGACTGGCCTCGTTTTTACCTCCCCCAGAGCAGGAGGTTTTCCTCTCTCCCGTGCGCCTGCACAGCCTCAGCACGGTGAGAAAAGCCAGGCTCCGAGCTCTGCGTGGGGAGACGCTCACCAGGAGCGGCCCAGAGCACCACCACGCTGCTCCCATTTGCACAAGGCTTTTATAGCTTCAACTCCTCCACTTCCATTCACAGGGGGAATCAGAGGCACAGGGAGAGGATGAGATTACCTGGCAGGGCCATGGCAATGCCCAGCCAAGAGCTGGGCACACGCCAGAGGATGCAAGACAGGCACTGGGCGGTGCCTCCTAAACTCCCTGCCAGGTCTGGCTGCATGGGACAGTTGTCACAGGCAGTCTCAGCTCTGGTGCTAGCTCCTGTTCCCATTTTCTGAGCCCCTGGGCTCATGCCACGACTGATGCCAGCTGCTCTGCAAGGTGGGATTGCTCGGTGAGGTGTAATTAACCCGGCTGCGTTCCTGGAGGACCCATGCAGGAGAATGATGCCCTGCTGCAGAGTCGCTCCTGGGCCATGTGCGAGTTTAAACATAAAACCTGTCTCATAAAACAAGCCAGACCAATTAAACTGGCCCCTGCAGCAAGGGGTTCTTGCTTACTCACTATTTTACTGCTGCCCTAAAGAGCCCTTTTCACTAGAACTCAACTTTATTTGCCACCATTTTATTGACTCTGCAGATGGAACCCAGAAGAGACTGGGGAATACTAGGACAGCACAGCAAAGCCCTTATTCACTTTGCCAGTGAAGTTGGGATATAGCTGATTCTTCAGCTTAGGACACCATGACAATTGAGAGCTTAAAACTTTTAACAGGTACTTCAGGTATTTTTTTTTCAGTCAAAAGCTTGTGGAGGCAGAAAGATTGCAGCCCCTCTGGCTACAATCACACACCCTGACACAGATGCAGCCTAAGGAATCTGAGCCCCCAGCTAAGTGCAAAAGCCTTCGTGGGGCAGTGGACAATGCTCTGCCCCACAGCAAGCCCCTGTGCAAGAGCTGGAGGAGAGGGTCCATGCTCTGTGCTCCTTGATGGGGAATATGGAAAAGAGAAGGAACTTGTGGCCTGACCCATCTCTACCGGAAAGCAACACTCATGGGCAGGTTGCACGTGGGGGAAAGAAGAAATTGGGGCAGTAGTTTTCCTCTAATGCCCACATTCACCCACAGCCCTGGGAGTGCTCACACTGCAATCCTCCACACTGCTTTCCGTCAGCAGGGGAGAACCAAAACTCCCCACCTTGAATGGAAAGTGACACCCGGGAGGGACATGCCCGGAGTGTTTCCACAGATGCCCAGCTCCAGGAGGGTTTACCAGGACATTGGCTTCACCCCCGTCTTAGAGCAAGTTTCACACTCAGCCTTTTCATTTCCAATCCCAAGGACTAATCAGTCGCACTCCACCCGAACCAGTACAGTGCTGGGACACAGATATGTGCATACAAATAACTGCTTTTTTTAAGGAAATGTCATACCTGCCTCTAGGAATGAAGCATGTTTCATACCTCTTGCCAACTTAATCACAAACCCAGCAAGCCCAGGCAGAGCCCTGTGTGCCCCAGCACTGTGGCATCTCAAGCAGGCACCTCACGCTTCTTTCATCACTTTTTCTCTCACAGCCTCAAGGTTTTGATGAGCTCATCACTCAACTTTGGACCTTTCATCTCCGAGTTCACGCTAAGGCCACGGGCTGCTTTGACTGGGCTTTTCTCTGAATGACTGTTTCTCTACTGACTCACCTGTCCCTCAGCCTCCGGGTACCCTCCCAGCTGCTTCCATCAAATTCTGCTTCTCACGGGGGTGAGAGGGAAACAGTGAGAGGGAAACAGTGACCTCCACCGAGTGGGCCCGGCTTTGGGGCACAGAGGAGGAAGTTCTGTCACCTGCTGCTCTGCATTCACATAGCAGAGAGGAACACTTCCCAAAAGCACTGCCAGCACACTCACTACCCTCACAGTGCTACCATGAAACCTAGTACCTTCAACAACTTAGTACCTTCTTATTACACTCACTTTGCAGCCCAAAAGCAATCCCCTTCAAAGATTTCCCAAAAACAGTCCTCGTGCTAATGTCAGGACGACAGACTAGGACTCCCTGCACAATTATATTGCTGCTCTTTGCGGGCAACTTTGCTCCTTGGGACAGGGAACCAAATATGGATGGTTCTAGCCGCTCACTTGGGAAGAACCCACCAAGAAAGGGCTTATACAACAACAAAACTATGTCAAAAAATGGATTTTGGCCCTTCCAGCTGAAAAGTGGGCACCACCGATACGGAACTTATGAGCATATAGTGAAGGCATTAGTTATAAAAACAAACCAGCTGTCAAGAAGAAGAAGGGGTCCCTGCACACAGTAGTGCCTGAAGCTGAAAACAGCTGTTTCGGCTGTCATGAGTCAGCATGTGCAGACAGACTAAATCCACCTGGGAAGAGGCAACCTCACCAGAGGAAGCAGCCCAGTGCTGCTTGGGGAGCATTCACACACCTCACTGCCAACCCAACTGGATTTGTTACCATGGAAGAAATCAACAGTGACTAACAACTTCTCAAGGAGCAGCTAAAAGAGCAGAGATAGCAACAGGCCTGAACAGCCAGCTCAAATCACCGTGAGGCCACGGGGAGTACGGCCTGACAGCACAGAACCGCGGCACTCAGACGTCTTCGGGAAAGGTCTGTCATGTCTTGAGCCAGGAAAGAAGAAAGCAAGACTCAAACCTCCTCAGGAGACTGTGCACTGACCTAAAAAAGGGTTGAAAATGGTGTCTCCCATCCTAGAAGAGCAACCCTGGAAATGCCACCGGAGAGCACAGGAACAAGAGTGCCATGATCTGGGCTGGGAAGCAGAGCTGCTGCGCTTCAACCCAGTGTGGACCCGTTTGGCTCCGGCCGAGGAGTGCACAGAGCTTTGGCACCTGAGCATCAGCCCCAGCTGTGAAGGAGGCACCAAATAAGGGAAAGATTCTGGAGGAGCGACTCCTGGGGAAAAAGTGTTTCAAGTTAAAAATTGTTACTTCAGGTTTGGAAGTAAATTTCAGGATCTGGTCTTTATCAAGCGAGGCAAACTTTCTTCAACATCAGCAAAGCATCTGTGGAGCAGAAAGTGGTGTCAGAGTCAAAATAGGCTGCAAAAGACAAGTCCATTAATCAAGAGACCAGATGCAAAATTGCCTGTAACAAATGCGCTGTCTCCACCGGAGTGGAAGGGACTGGAGCACAGCGGGATGTTCTCCTGAGTCTAGGGGTCTCCTCAATGACAAGGGGTTGGGATACAGACCACAGAGCCACACAGCTCTGCTCCAAAACACGTACCACACTCATCTCAAATATTTTCAGGGTTTCTTGGGCAGCCAGGCTTTTCCAGGCACAGCTTCCTTGCTGAGAAGTGTGTGAAACAACATCCAGGCACCCAAAACGTGCCATATTCTCACTCCCAGCTCAAGGGTTAGAGATACCACATTAATTATTAAGATTATTCCTCTCTTTCCACAGGCAGTTCCTTCAGAGCTTCACACCACCCAGTCTAAGAGCAGCAGTGAACCCACTACCTGCCCTGGACATGGCTGTACAAACATGAGCCTTTATCCCACACCATCCCAAATTGGCCAGGCACAGCTCTGGCTGCTGTTTTCCACAGCTGTGTCACAC